TCTTATGCATGGCTAAGCGTGATGTCATCATCTTTGATTCTTTGAGGCAGAAGCGAAATTTAGCAATTAAGTTTGCAATGACAAAGTAAGTCTAGTTTGTTATTAATGTCATGATTTTATGTGTGTAAGGATATTATATATGTTATTTGTTTCAAATGTGTAACACTTTTCGAAGTTTCAAGGCATTAAGTGGACAATCTAGGGGAAGTAAATTGACATGGCATATGGGACAGGTTACCTTAATTTCTTACCCTAACTTTTTGTTTCTTAATAATTTAAGTATAGAAATTTAATTCAACTTATATATATATTACATGTAGTGTCCTCAACAATTGGGTGGATGTGAGTGTGGCTACTACGTCATGCGTTATATGTACGAAATACTTCAACATCACCAAAGCAGTGAGGATCTTATTCAGGTATGAGTTGTCAAATATTTCATTTTTTTTATAAATACAATTTGATGTTAGCTACAATCTTGAATTAAATCTTTCCTCTTGTATATTTGTTGTGTTGATAGGATTTTTCAAGAACTACACCGTACACCGAGGAGGAGATAAATGCGATTCGAGATATTTGGGTAGAGTATTTTATATGTAATGTTGAACTTTAGATTTACACTTAGCGCATGTTGGACTCTTTTTTGGATTATAGGCTTGACATGAAAAATTTTGGTTAATTGGTGTCAGGATGATGAGTATAATGTCTATGATATTGAGATTTAAATTATTGGACAGATTGTTAATATAATGTCGTCATTCCCAATTTTATGGGTAGGCCAAAATACAAAGGAGACTCTGCCGAAATTTACATTTGCATTATTCAATAATATTGCATTTTAATTTCAATTATATTAGCGTTAGCATATAACTTTATACCACTAGCAAGGAAAACAGGTACTACAAACATATACAAGGCAATTATTATAAATAAAAAAAATCACCTCATTTACGTCACTCATTAAACAAAGAAGTGACGCAAATAAAGCAATTTTTTTTGTCTAGTCAGTCATTTGCGTCACTCCTATATAAACAAGTGACGCAAATAACAAACAAGAATTTTATAAGAAGAGTCATTTGCGTCGCTCCTTTATAAAGGAATGACGCAAATAAGAGTAATTTGAGTCACTCCTTTATAAAGGAACGACGCAAATAACTCTTATTTGCGTCACTCCTTTATAAAGGAGCGACGCAAATGACTCTTATTTGCGTCGCGCCTAGGAGCGACGCAAATGACTTTTCAATCATTTCCGTCGCGAGCAGTTGCGTCGCTCATAGAAGCGACACAAATACACTATAAATGAGCGACGCAAATGAGCCTTTTTCTACTAGTTAAGCTTGAAAAAACCTTTCGAACAATATATTATAGGCCCAATTCCGATGAATAATGAGGAAGTTATGGCCAAATTACTAAACTGGGCCCAAACAAGATTTTACCTACGACCCAATGATCATGTGGAGGGTCCAAAGGTTTAATCCTATTCCTAAATTAATAAGGATTAATTAGAAACTTCCATATGTTTCTAAAAAATCTTAATTATCCTTTTGATAAGATAAAGTCAAAGAGTTTGAAATTGAATAAAAGTTTCCTTTTTTTAAAATCCTAATTCTATTCGAATTTAAAGATGTTCAAAGACAGTCTGATATTATTTTTGTGCCTCATAATCTTTATCCAAATATTATATCGTTGGATAGATTTTGAAATTATCTTTCCAATGATATATTATAATATTAATTACGAGCTATAACGAAAAAGATATGAATGGAATACGAAACTCTATCCAAAACTAACACCCTTCCACTATTTCAGCAATATCTTTTAATCTACAAAATATTTAAATCTTATTCTAATAAGGTTGGAAAGTAGATTTCAAGAGCTTTCCAACGACATATTATATGACTTATTTGGAGTTCTGGATCAAAAGATATGATAAAAATAAAATTCGCAAAAAAGTTGTCCCAGCGCCAAACGACAGGTCTGTCGCCTGGCGACGATACCTGTCGCCTGGCGATGAAACCTGTCACCTAGCGACAAACTTGTCACCTGGCGACGAACTTGTTACCCGGCGACAAACTTGTTACCCGGCGACGAACTTGTCATCTTGCGCTGCTACTGTTAACAGCGTTAGCGCCAAACGATGGCGTTGTCGCCTGGCGACAAGTTTGTCGTCTTGCGACAGTGTCAGCGTCTGAAATCGACGTTATTTTCTCGCGCCGAATTCTTCCACTATCGAGCCAGAAATCTACCTTCTTGTTTTTACTAGTTTGCTAGTACTGTTTGCTCGGTTTTACTTCTTGATTGAGTTTATCCCTTTTTTCTGAAACCAATATGTGTTCTACATATGGACATAACCCTCTGGGAGTTTGTGCTCCATCTACCCAATCGAACGCTCCTGGCAATGAAGGGTACATCCAAGATTGTTGAATTCACCAAACTATGGAAGCGAGTTTAACTCTCGGGGTCCTATCCACACGCGCCAACCCTTCCAAAGGTAAGACTTCTGCGCGGTGCATCCAGACTCATAGCCATGGAACTTATTTAACTAACCCATATCCTGAACTTTAGAGAACTAGAGCCATGGTTAGGTTGCAAACTCATTGCATCATGTTGTGAATATTTGACTACTTGTGCATTATTTGCTTGTGCATACTTACATGCGATTAAAATAACCGTTTGGTTTGACTTGTAACTATGAATATGCTTAAATAAACTAACCAAAGACTAAAGGACTTTTCTTAATTAATTGATTAATTAATTTGAGTTAATAAATATGTCAAAAATCGAGTCATAGTTCCTTTGAGTCAACCCGGATTTTTATTCCCGTATACTGCACAAATGTCAACTTGTTTTGGTCATATCCGGAGTTCTAGAAAGAGTTACGAGTCATTAAACCTATGGATCTGTAAACCTAAGTTTTATCTTTAATTTGGCGTTGGTTTCGTCCCAATCAGAGTCACAGATAAAAAGTTACGACTAAAATACTACAACCTGTCCAGTGTAGTGCACATACATGAGGTCTTAACTTAGTCTTTGTTCGAGTCTAGTCACATGGTCATGACACAAGTCTTAACATGTCACCTAAACTCAATACCCTTAGCACACACTTTGTACATACTCTTTTCATACCATGACCCTGTTTTAGGTTCATGCATTAATCGTTTTCCCGTCATTTGAGTTGAGGGTCAATCCCATTTCTATTTCCTTCCATGTTCTCTTCCCATGCATTGCATGTTGAATAGAGCTTGAGTAAAAATAATAAAAAAAACGATGGTAGTGTAGTTAATTTGAAAGAATTTACACGGGTAGGTTGATCACTAAACATATGTGAGGTTTGACTTTCGTTGACTTTCTCTCTTCTCTCTCTTCTCCATGGTTCTTTGATTTTGATCGGTTTCTTCATCAATCTTGATCTCCGATGGCTAAGAAGAAGAAGCAGAACAATTCTACACCTCAATTAGTACAACATAGGAATTCTACTAATCCAGTTTTAGATACAATTTTGCAGAATTTGCGAAACTCAGGTTCTACTTTTGTTCCAAGCCCGATTCAGGAGGTAGATGAGCTTGTCACTTCGGCGCCGGCACCGGTCAATCCATCTTGTGGTTCTATTCCCCGGAGTGATGCTGAAACTATTGCACTATTTGCTGAAGCCGTTTCTAGACGAGCATCTTTGATTTCCAATAAAACAGTACCTAGGGTTTCTGGGTTTACTGTTCCATTGGATGCTGGAGCTGCTGCTCATTGATCTGAACCAACTGTTCCCGATTCTCACTCTATACCCCCCCCAGAATAGAACTTGCACAAGGATGGTGATATCGACCTAGCTCATTCTCTGGGAAGTTGACTACTAAGGGAGCTCCCCTGTTCTTTGTTGCCCCGGTGGTTCAAAATGGGAAACAGGTAGCTCAGCTGCAGGATTCTGAACTTATGGAAGGTAATAAGAAATGGTCTAGTGCTTTAGTTTTCTATGTTGTTGGTCATTATCCTACTATTGTTGTTGTTCATCGTTTTATAGCCCAACAATGGAATGATGTGAAAAAACCAGACATTTTTTGGCATGACGATGGGTATTTTATCATTAATTGTTGCTCAGTTAGTGATAAGGATACTATTCTTTGCTCTTGTCCGCATATGTTCATGGGAAAACCAGCAATCATTAAGCCTTGGAGTCCTAAATTTGATTTTGTTGCTGAGATTTTAAGAACTTTTCCATTATGGTTTAAGTTCCCAAACTTACCTTTAAATTGCTGGGGTCCTGAAACTCTTAGTCGTATTGGTATCTTGCTTGGTATACCAATTTGTTTTGATGAATGTACCACAAGACAACTAAGAGTTTCCTTTGCTAGAGTTCTAATAGAAATTGATGTTACCAAACCATTGCCTAAATCTGTATTTGTGGAAAGCCCCTCGAAGGAAACTCTGGAACTTAAGGTAGTCTATGAATGGACTCCACCCTTTTTCTCTAAGTGCAATAAAGTGGGCCATAACTGTTCTGTCAAAGCTCCAATAGCTCCTAAGCAATCAGTGACTGCAGCTCCCAAGCAGTCAGTGACTACAGCTCCTAAATTAGTGCAGCAAGTCTAGGTTGCTAAGCCTAGTCAGGTTCCTGCTCCTGTTGTTGATGTTGATTCTTCTGTTCATGGGAAATCTGTTATCACTCCACAAGTTCATACTTCTCAAAACTCATATGAGGGGTGGAGAATAGTTGGAAGGAAGACAAAAAGTTAGCAAACTAGGGTTAATCGGCCTGTTTCTACCTCTAATGCTTTTGTTGCTTTATTTGCAAATGAAATGGATGGTGCAGGTGGTTTCACTATAAATCCAAGCGGGGGTGAGGTTAATCCCCCTTTGGTGTCATGATTTACTCTATCTGGAATGTCAGGGGCCTGAATGACCCTGACAAAGTTGCCTCTATAAAGAGGTTGCTTCATTCTCATTCAGTTGATGTTATTGACCTTCTTGAAACAAAAGTCAAATAAAAAAATGTTTTCACTTACCAAATGAAGTTTGGCTCTTCTTGGCTTTGGGTGTGCAATTATGATCATTCTCCTAAAGGGAGGATTTGGCTTGGTTGGAATGCAGATAGAGTAACTGTCAATGTCTTAAAGATTCATGAGCAGTTTATACATTGTAGTGTCCTTTCTAAGGATATTTCTACTAAATTTCATCTCACTTTTATCTATGGGCTTCATTCTATTCATGATAGGCTTCCTATGTGGGAAGGGATTAGGAACATCTCTATTCAACATTCTCCATGGCTCTGTGCTGGTGACTTTAACTCTGTTCTTAATACTTCAGACAGGCTTCATGGTACTGATGTTACTGATTATGAGACTAGAGATTTCTAGAGTTTGGTTGATGATTTAGACCTCACTCAGGTCAAGACCAAAGGAGCCATCTACTCTTGGTCAAATAAGGCTCACACTGGTCCTAGAACTCTTTCTAGGATTGACAGAGTCTTTGGTAACCAAGCTTGGCTGGCCTCTCATGGTCATGTTGAAACTGTCTATCTTCCCCCTTCTTTATCTGATCACAGTCTAATTCTTTTGGATATTTGTCCTGCTCCTGCTGGGAAAGGTAGACCTTTAAGGTTTCTAAACTATATTGCTGATCATCTTGATTTCCTTGATACTGTTTCTCAAGCTTGGTGTTCTGGTGGTTCTGTCTTGCAGAAGCTTAATTCTGTGAAGTCTAGTATCAAGTCTCTTAATAGCAAGCAATTTGAAAAAAATTGCTGAGAAGATTGATCAAGCTAATGTTGAGCTTGCTGGAATTCAAAACTTAATGGCTCAGAATCGTGATGATTTGGATTTATATGTAAAAGAATCTGATGCTATTAAGGTTATCAAACACTAGAATGATATTCAAGAAAGCATCTTCAAACAAAATTCTAGGATCAACTGGATTAAGCTTGGAGATGGCAATTCCCATTATTTTTTCTTAGTGATGAAGAATAGACAAGCAAGGAAAAAAATTGACTCCATCTTTGACTCTATCGAGGTTTTGCTTAAGGATCCGGATGCTATTTCTCATGAGATTATTTCTTTCTATAAGTCTATTTTAGGGACTAAGGCTCCTTGGCTTCCTGCTGTTTATCTTGTTACTATGAGGAGAGGTAAACAGCTTTGCTCTGTTGCTTAGAGCTATCTCATTTAGCCTGTCTCTCATGCTGAAATTGATGCTGCTCTTAAGGGAATTGATAACACTAAAGCTCCTGGTATTGATGGCTTTAACTCCTTTTTCTTTAAGAGAGCTTGGCATATTGTGAAAGATGATATTTATGCAAGTGTTATTGATTTCTTTACTAAAGGGACCTTATGGAATTACACAACTATTACTCTTCTTCCTAAAATCCCTAATGCTTCCCATGTAAGGATTTTAGACATATAGCTTGTTGCACTGTGGTTTATAAGCTTATTTCTAAGGTCATAACTGCAAGACTTGCTGCTATCATTGGTGAGGTCATTGATGATGCTCAAGCAGGTTTTATTCCAGGCAAGCACATTGGTGACAATATCCTTCTTGCAACTGAGTTGATCAAAGGCTATGATAACAAATTTATTTCACCTAGATGCATGGTTAAGGTGGATCTAAAGAAAGCCTATGATTTAGTTGAGTGGGGATTCTTGATTACTGTTATGCAGGAGCTTGGTTTTCCTCAAAGTTTTATTAACTAGATCTGGACCTGTCTTACTTCTGTCTCTTATTCTATTTTTATCAATGGTTTCCCTGCCCCTCCCTTTGAAGCTAAGAAAGGTTTAAGGCAAGGTGATCCTATGTCTCCTTTTCTTTTTGCTATTGGTATGGAATACCTTTCTAGATGCCTTGATGAGTTTAGGTTAACTCCTGATTTTAACTTTAATCCTAGATGTGAAAAGTTAAACCTAACTCATATGATGTTTGCTGATGATTTGTTGATGTTTTCTAAAGCTGATAGTGTTTCTGTCAAGCTTCTTTTCCAAGCTTTCTTGAAATTTTCTGGTGCTTTAGAGCTTTCTGCTAACCTTGATAAAAGTGAAGTTTACTTTGGAGGAGTTTCTGTTGATGTTCAGACAGAACTTAAAGAGCTTCTTGGTGTTTCTCAAGGTTCTATTCCTTTTAGATATCTTGGGGTCCCTCTCTCTTCTAAGAATCTTACAATTGCTCAGTGTAGGCCTTTGGTGGAGAAAGTGACTGCTAGAATTCAAGGGTGGATGGCTAAACACTTGTCCTATGCTGGGAGGCTCCAGTTGGTTAAGAGTGTGATGTTTGGTATTCAGACATATTGGGCTCAAATCTTTATCTTACCAAAGAAAATTGTGAAAGAGATTGAGGCTAGATTCAGATGCTTTCTTTGGACTGGCTCCTCTGCTCCTGCTTAGAAATCTTTGATTTCTTGGAACTATGTATGTCTTCCTAAATTATGTGGTGGCTGGAACTTGCTTTCTCTCCCTGAGTGGAATAAGGCAGCTGTCATTAAGTTACTTTGGGATATTGCTCACAAGGCTGATAATCGTTGGGTTAAGTAGATCCATATTTATTATTTCAAGCATAAAGATTGTTGGACCACTCCTATCTCTGCTAAATGCTCTTGGTTTTTGAAGAAAATTCTGAGTTGTAGAGATATTGTGAATGATCAAGGGGGATGGGATGGTTTCATACAGGGCAATAAGATGAAAATCAAGAAGCTTTATGCTGCTATTAGGCCTCAAGTCCCTAAGTTTCCTTGAAAGAGGGTCATTAGTCATAACTTGGAAACTCCTAAAAGTGTGTTTATCTTGTGGCTAGCTTTGTGGGATAGGCTTGTCACTAAGGATAGGTTGCTACAAAAGGCACATCACTTGTGATCCAAGGTGTTTCTTTTGCTTGAATAGTAATGAAAGTGTTCAACACTTATTCTTTGATTGTGAGTACTCTAGACAGGTTTGGAACAAGGTTTTGAGTATTTTACATGTCTCCAAGCCTTTTCAGCAGTTTGATGATGAGATTGAATGGTTGAAGAAAATCTGCAGAAGTTCCCGAATGAAAAACAAAGTGATCCAAGTTGCCTTCACTGAAACAGTCTATGGTATTTGGATATAGAGGAATGCAGTTTTGTTTACTTGTTGTTGTAAGCCTGCTGATGTTCTAGTTAAGGATATTATCTTTCATTCAGCTTGTAGAATCCCAGCTAGAAGCAAGTACTTGATTGTGTAATTTTCTGCTTAGTTGGTTTTGACAGGGAGCTGCAGGTTTGCTGTTGTTCTATTATGGTTTCAGTTTGCTGTTGTTGTTCTGAAGTCTGCAACAGCTTGGGTTTCTGTTTGCTGCAGCTTGGTTTGCATGGAGCTGCTCTTTATCTACAGTTGCTCTGTTCTGGCAGACTGTTCTGATGCAGCAACTGTTGTTCTAGTCTGTTGCTGCTGCTGTTCTGGTCTGCTGCTGCTGTTGCTGGTTTGCTGCTGCTGTTGTTGGTTTGCTGTTGCTGCTGTTTCTTTCTGTTCAGCTTGTCTGTCTGCAAATCTGCTGCAGCTTGGGTGCTATTTTTGGTTTCTTGTCTTGGCAGCTGGTGGTTTAGTGTCTTTCTCTTTTCATTTTAGCTGCTTTAGCTTCTTTATTTGCGTGTATAGGCTAGTTTTGGTGCTTTAAGCTGCTGTTTTTGCCTATTTTTGTGTGCTGCTTTTGTCTTAGGTTTTCTTGTCTGGTATTGGGTCTCAGAACCCTTCCTAGAAGGTGGCTGTGATCTTGAGTCCAGTAGTTGTCCTTGTTTCTCTCAAGCACCCTTCCTAGAAGGTGGTTTGGGTAGATTCTTGGATTGTTAGTGTTGGTTTGGCCTTTTTGGTCTGTGGTGTTTGGTGTTGTTACAACTTAGCTTCTTGTAAGTTTGTAACTTTCTTATTTTGGCAATAAAATTCTTATTTTCCAAACAAAAAAAAAAATAAAAAAAAAAAAACTTACCGCTAACTTCCCTTTCCACATCACTTGGTCAAGGAGAGAAGGGCGATTAATTCAGGACGATACCTTTGTTCAAGTCTCACTTTTTGATAAACTGATAATGGAGTCTCATGAAGAAGTTAATGAGCTCAAGAAGGATGAGGCCAATCTAACTGAACTAAAGAAGTGTATAGCTCTTCAAGTCAATGAACCTGTAGGGTAACAACAAATAGAGCTCCTGGAAGAAAGCTTGAGCAAAATATCCAGTGACTATAGATTTCAGGGCATTAGCTCACAAGGGGTCTCAATAGACAAGGAACTTCTTCCGCAGAAGTTCAATGCCAGTGACATCCCTAAGTTTAAGCTAACTGACAATCCTTACTTTCAATTAAGGGCCTTTGAAACTATAAACAACATTAAGGGGATTGATAGGAAGATTTTTCATTCTTTGTTCTCACTATCTTTAGAAGCTGTTTGTCAACAGTGGTTCTTTTCTCTTGAAAAAGAGAAAACCTCTTCTTGGGATTCCATAACAAATGCTTTCGTAGATAGATATAAGTGCAACATCCAAGACGAAACAGACCACAGACTACTTGAGATGTTAAAACATAAAGAAAACAAAGGGTTCACTTCTTTCTTCAACAAATGGAGGGAAACTTCTGCTAATATGGTTAAGGTTCCTACCGAAAAAGAGTCTGTAAGGATGTTAATCAAGAACTTTCAAGAAAAATATGTAAAGCACTTAAAATACCAACACAACTTGAATACTTTCAAGGTTGTGTATAATATAGGCAAAGCACTTAAAATACCAACACCTATTGGCATAAGTTATGACACAGCATTCGATCGCCTTCATGCTAAAGGTCTCATAACTCCCATTGGACCTATTCAAGATCTCGCACCTAAGAAGAGGTTACCTAGTTGGAATCAAGATGCACACTGTAAATACCATCAAGGTAGGGGTCATACTACTGAGAGTTGTTGGAAGCTAATAGAAGTCTTCCAATATCTAATTGACAATAACAAGCTTCCCATACCTCTAAACGACAAGAAGTCTAATTGATGATAAAGCATAAGACATGAGGCGAGCTTCAACGACAAGATTTCGTGACCTCTTTTTATTTTTATTTCATTTTTCCTTTCCCCAATAATTCTAGCAATAAGCACCTTTTATCTTAGATTTTTGTTTTGTATGTTTCTTTTCTCCCTTTAATAAAATGAGCATTTGTTTCCTTGCATATAATCATTACATTGCATTACCCCAAAAAAAAAATTAAAAAAAAAAAAATCCATGTCGAACTAAGCACAAGGTATACCCATGATTAGAGGCACCTCTCATAGCCATGTTATACCTTTCACCCTTTAAATATACAATCTTTTCTTGATAAACCACTTTGAGCCTCGTCTAACAATAGACCTTTCTTTCTTCAACCCACATCTACCTAACCTTGGGATGGTGTGCAACTTATGCAATTACAAAATCTTGAGTGATTAAAAAATTAAAATAGCAAAAAGAGCAAAAATAAATAAAAGTGTACAAAAAGGCAAGTGTTCCAATGTCTTTGATATGAATATATCTTTGATAAGAACACGTCTCAGATTGTGTCTCTTATGGAGTGCTCGGTACCGTGCCTGAGAAATATGAATGCCAAGTGAGTGATAGATCCTATGATCGGGATTGCCTACACTTATAAAAAAAAATGCAAAAGCAAAAAAAAGATAGAGAAAAAATAAAAAAAGAAAGATCTCAAAAGTGAGAAACCTCAAGCATAATAATACAAAGATACAAAAGCAAGGTTGCACACCTTGGGGCTTATCTAGGGTCTTGAGCCTTTATCCCTTTCTTCTTCAACCTTAATCCTAACCACGTTACAACCCTTAAAAGACCTCTTTGAGGTATACACACACTTGTGCGAGGTTCGGCTAGAGCTATGTTCGGCCTGATTCCTAACGGATACGTAGGCAACCTCACGAAGGGGTGCAACCGTAATAAACATGCATTCATATTCACATTCACACACTCACACCATGATCATATCAAAGGATCTCCAATGCTCATCCCTATTCATTTAGAGCTAGACTTGGGGGCTTGATCCTTACATTATTAGCCTACCCAGCCTAAGAGTCACCACTATTTCACTATTTTTTAATATATTTTTCCACACACTTAGCCCTTTCAGCCTAACTTTAGTGTCACTATCACACACATCACAGATACATGACAAAATATACTTCCCTCAGGAATCCTTTGTCATGAAATCTTAACACAGCTGATGAGGGGTGGAACTAGGTCGTTGAAACTAATCCTCCCTCGGTCAAACTAAATTTATAAGCACTTAACCAACCTACATACTAGTATAGAGGAAAGTCAAGGGTCGAACCCAAATTAACGGTAATGTTCAAGCGCTCTCAATTATGCGCCTAAGCTAGGTCGAAGTCTGAGGATAAAAAGAGAACACTAACCAACTACAAAAATGAAGAACCAAACAAATAAACCCTAGGAACGGGGATCAACAAGTAATCATGACAATTGTAGCAACTCGAAAATACATGCAAGTCAATGGTTGTGAAGACTAAACGCAAGCTCAATCAAAAGAGTCAACAAGCTATCTCCTAGAGGTCAAACTAGCACCAACTATGAGAGACTCTAACCAGGAGCATCAGTAATCAAGCTCAATCGACAAATGTAAGCTACAAATTAATGGTCCGTATTAATGTAGACTCACTATGCAATCTAGCATAATTATCAAGGCCTAATCGAATTACACACATGCAAACTTCCATTAATCACTTTAATCTCAACAATTAATCAACACATTCCCCAAATTAAGCACAATCAATCAATCATACAAGTTTCACCCAATTCCTAGCAAATAACTACTCTAACAACATCATCAAATCAACAAACAGCTATTGAAATCAAGAATCAACAATATATGAAGAGCAACTACACTAATCAACAATCAAACATCAAAATCAAAACAAACAAATATGAAATAAAAAAAAAGCAATAAAATGAGATAGAGTTAATAATGGTCATTGATAATAGAGAAGATCGCCAACACAATTGTCACCATTGAATCTTCAATCTCTCAATCACCATTGAAATTCCTCACTTTCTCTCTCTGAAATCTACTCCTAAACTAACCCTAAAACTAGAGAGAGAAGCTCTCAACTAAGCTAAGAATAGGATCTAAAATGTGAAATGAAGCTTATTTTAAACTTGCCCCAAAAATCGGGTTTACAATGGTGTTTATAGAGGTGCGAAAACAAAAACCGAGCAAATAAATACCTAGGAAGGCGCGCTTGTGCTGCAGGGGAGGCGCGCCCGCGCTGCAGGGGTGGCGCACCCGCGCCCGTGCCTTGTGCGCCCGCACATCTTTGGGTTTCTTCGATCTTCTCGCGGCTTCGTGCGTTTGCTAAGGTCTTCGAATGACCGCACAATCATGATGATGATGAACACTAAGTGAGGCCGTCCCAAAAGCACATGATTGTGGGTTCAAAACCCCATATTCATGAGAGCACGACTTGAGAGCGCAAGAGCTAGAACTTGGAGAATCCACTACCTTGCATCTTGAGCTTTCCAATTGCCGTGAGCTTGCTCCAAAAGCTACCTTCACCTTAGTAAATCACCAATATCAAGACCCAAACCTCAGAAAATACCTAAAACCACAAAAATAGAGCAAATAATGGAGAAAAGACTAGAAAAACCATTGAAATGCACAAAAGCTACAAAATAAGAGAGGAAAGGTCAAACTAAGACCAAAAGCATAAAACTAAGCATTTATTAATCATGAAAGCCATGTAAAGAAGGTAAAAACAACCTAAATTCTCATCAAATGGGTTCCATTTATGACATCCATCAAACGTTGAAGCATGCCTTGTCATATCAACATCAATCATTATTGCATCACAAAGTATGAAGTACATAGCCTCTGCGCCTAAGTTACCTAAATACTTTTATTATCGAGTCAACTAGGATAGTCTAATATGTTATAATTCTTATACTATGAGAGACAACGTTGACATATTAAGCTCATTCAACATGCACCATCAAACACTTTGATTCTTTTTCGCGTCCTTCTCTTTCGGGAGAAAGTCAGTACCCTCCACAAAAATGACATAAAAAATTTGAATTTTCGCTTTTTCACATTTTGATTCAAGCACATCACAATACAATGCACACACGAGTCATGAGTCACACGTGTCAATTCACCTTGAGTAAACCTCAAGTTAGTCAGTCACATTGAGTCAACTTCAAGTCACTTAATCACCATAGGTCAATCCTAAGAAAAGATATCAAGCCTTAGGTCAATCCTAAGAAAAACACCAATAAAGTCTTTCACAATCTTTTGATTTTTACATGATACATTCATTCGGCAAAGCTCCTGTTCGCAGCCAATCGAACGATTGCAACAAACATTCAAGTATCAAAGTTCTATTGTTCAGAGACGCGTGGACAATCCTTTCAAGCTCTTTTGTTCAGAGACGCGTGGACATATAAAAAAAGCTCTTTTGCTTAGAGACGCGAGGGCATATCATTCAAATCTCTTTATTCATAGACGCATGGACATGACTTTCAAGCTCTTCTGCTAAGAGACGCGTGGGCATCCTATTAAAGCTCTTTTGTTCAGGGACACGTGGATATTTCTTCCAAAAGCTCTATTTTTCAGAGACGAGTAAACAATCCTAAAAAAGGAAGCTCTTTTGTTCAGAGACGAGTAAACATATACAGCGGAAAAGCACAATCACAACATCAAAACAGCAAGATGGCGTTTCCTAGCTTGTGGAAGGTTATCACAACAACAAATGCAGCAACAAATCGATTACCCTCAGAGACGTGTGCTCGACGGTGCAAGATACGCGTTTCTTAACTCTATTATTTGTTTTAAATAACGCTGGTTTGCAGGTATTGGAGTTACAAGAATAATTTAGGATTGCAGAACGTTCTTAATCATTCTCCGTCCCTATCATTACTTTGACTTTTGGTTTTGAAACTTACGTTTCTCCAAACTCAGTCAAAGTGGGGGCTTCTATAGTCTCCCATATGTGACTCCCCTAAAATCAAACCCAGTGATGAATACCTTTCATATCATTTTTTATCAAAAAAAGTGAAATTAATAAAAGTCTAGTGATGAGGATATTTTATTAAAATATCGCTTCTTTCTGTTTTTGAAAATAATTCTTTTCTTACCCTATTTATGAAAAACATGCATTCC